CTCTGTCCACCGTGGCGGCGGCGCTGGCGGAGCACGGGCCCTTCGACGGGCTGCTGGGCTTCAGCCAGGGCGCGGCGCTGGCCGCCATGGTGTGCGCCCTGCGGGCCCGCGGCGACCCGCGCTTCCCGGTGACCTTCGCCGTGCTGGTGGCCGGGTTCGCCAGCCGCTCCCCGGCACACGGACACTTCTACCGGGAGCCCATCGCCCTCCCCACGCTGCACATCGTGGGCGACACCGACGCCGTCATCGCAGCAGCCCTCAGCAGGGAGCTGGCCCAGTGCTTTGTGGAGCCCGTGATCCTCACACACCCCGGGGGACACTTCATCCCCGCGGCTCCGGCGCAGAAGAAAGCCTACCTGGAGTTCTTGGAACGCTTCTGCCCCGGGCAGGGCCAGCCCGAGCAGCCGGGGACTGGGGAGGTTTGAGATCGGGCTCTGTAGTAATGAAGGAGTCTGGTGAGCCACGTGTGCCCATCCTGTGAAGCATCACTGTTTCCGTGCCTCCAGAGGGACCAGAGAACAGCTCTCTGCATGTTCTGCTCTTCAGTGTCAACCCAGGCCAGGCTAAATGGTTTTTTATCTCTCTTTTTTTCAGCTTTGTTGTATACATCAGTATAAAATATATATGTATATAAAGTTATGTATATAAGATGTATGACACATAACACGATTGTGGGGGTGTGACAGTGAGGAGGTTGAGGGCAGGAGGGTGACACTGCTCTGTGTGCAAGGTGCTTTCAAGCTCAAACACCTGCTGAAAATGAGAGTCCCTCAGCTCAACCACAGCAAGTGTCTGCAGGGCACAGAGCTCCTGCAGTTTTACACACCAAAGATCAGTGGTTTTTAATATCTGTTAAGCCGAACTTCCAGCTGGTCTGGGCCTGGAAAACCCTCTCATCCTTGGCAGTGCCAGGGCAAGTGTTTGTTTCAAGAATGAAATATCTGCTGGCTCGGCATGCATGTGTTGGATCTTCCTTGCACAAAGTGCCTCCATGAACAAGAGAAACTTGTCACTGTTTGTGGCTCTGTATTATCCAGAAGCACACGAAAATCTTTATTGCTGTAACAGTTGCAGGTGTCCTGCCCAGCTTCTGCCCACCTCAGCACTGGGCACCAGTCTCAGGAGAGGAGTGCTAGCAGAGCTTCTCTAACCACAGCTTTCCTTGGGGCTGTAGAGTTGGTAAAAGAGGGAAATGGGGTGAAAAATGTGAATTTTCCCCATGCTTGAGCAGCGGGGCAGTGCAGTGTCAGCTCTGTGAGCATTTCCCTTGTTCCCTGAGCTGGGAGCAGGCCTGGGAGCTGCGGTGGGTTAAACCAGCCCAGCAGGAGTGAGCAGTTCTCAGCCCCATCAGATTTTTCCCCCTGGTTTGCAGCACTGTTGGTGATGGTGGCAGGAGGATGTGGCTGTTTCCCTGCAGCCCAGCCCCACGCTGCTGTTGCCCTGTGGGGCTGGGGGGGCTCTGGCAGTGCCACTCCACGTGGGCTGTGTCACATCTGCTGCGGAGGCGTGGGGTGTCTGCACCCCTTGGTGACCGCATCGGGGACACCAGAGGCTGGCTTTTGTGGGGTTTGCATGCCCGGCTGCAGCTGTGGCCGAACACAGCTGTGACAACGCACCGGAGCCTTTGTCTCCGCTCTTCCCCCGCGGCCGGGCAGCCCCCGGTAGCTGTTTGATCATCCGCGGTG